CCATAGCCACAATACATGATAAATATCTTTTGTTGTGTAGAAAAAATACGAAAGACTAAAAAAACATCAAAATCAAAAAACAATCAAATTTTCACGCTGAATTTGACGTCAAAGTACTATAGCATTCTTCCTAATCGATCTTTAATGAGTATAATAAACTAAAAAATAGATACGAATCTACCTGATAAATCATCTTCGTTTCTGTATAATCCGCCAAAATAATGATATGCTTCTATGTCACTATAAATGAAGTAGAAAATAGAAGATTGCTGTAGTCCGTTGCTATTTATTAACCACAGATTGGACATTTTCAAATAATAAAATTCAAGTACATGATAACATTGAAAGAGACAAACTACTATTTCAAACTACACCTATGTTTCAAGAATATAAGCTTAATATTTTCAATACTATGATAATTAGATGTGAAATCTAACGTTAATATGCGGGTGTGGATGTAAGAGTAGGAAATAACAACACTCACACATCCACACCCGCACCTCCAGTATAATTTAAATTTTTAGCTCGATTTCGACATAAAGTGAAATCTATTTATTCAAAATTTACGAACTGAGTTTTTTTAAATTTTATTTGAAGATCTTTATTAACTTATTTAATCATTCATGATATCCTAGCCTTCTTTATTTTTTGTGAATGCAAAAAAAAAGACATCAGAACATGAATAGAAAAACTTAGTTCGCATGAAAGAAAAAAGAGAAAGAACAATAAGTCGACATCGAAACAAACTTCAATAAACAAAAAAAAAGAAAAACAAAAACGATGGCTTCTTATTTCTGAAAGAGACAAAATATTTACAATTTGCTCTTGGAAAACGAAACACGAAGATGCATTGAATCCGCTAAACGATAATTATGTGTATTCTAAAAAACAAAACAACATCATTTTTTTTTAATAGAATTTCATAAAATAAAATACATACAATTAATGCAGCAATAGCTTGTTCAATTGTATCCATTTCAATTAAGGCCATTTTACGATCTTTTTCAAAAAATTTAAATCGTTTTATTGTTCCATATTGTGAAAATATTTTTCGAATTTCTTCTTCACTTGTTTCAGTACTAAATAAGTAATACAAAAAATTTCTTAGGAAAAAAAAAATTGGTGTTTGTTTTTATCTTGTACGGAATATTTGATAAATGTAGAACAGTACCAGGTGGAAAAATATTATTATAATTTTTTGATCCTGGTTTTTTAAAACGATGTAACGGAGAATTTGTAAAATCTTTTGTTAAACCCATATCCTATATCACAAAAGAAAATCATTATAATTATTGTTTTGTTTTCTTTTTTGTTTTTTTATATTACCGATGTACCATCTTTTGGCATTTGTACAAATTGATGTTTTGAAAATGAAACTCGTATTTGTTTTCCAAACATTGTTATATGATCAAGATTTTGATGAGCTAATATAAATAAAATTAATATATTTATTGAATTAGAATTTTTATATTTACCAACAGCTGCTTGCTGTGCTGTAGCATATTGAATTAATGCTGAATCTTTTTTATTAAATAAAATTTTTACCCGATGCACATCACCATAAACACCTATGGAAAATCGAAAATTTTTTCTTTTCTTTTTTTTTCCATGAAAAAAATTTATTTTTCTCTCTTTGAGATATGTCTGTCAAGAATGAGAAAAGAAAGAGAAGATACACATACCGAATAGTGTGAATAAGGACTCTGGAGTCGTCATCTAATCGTCCAAAAGAGGAAAAAAAAAGAGAAGAAATGAATA